ACGAACTGGGTTTTTTTCTTAGAAGTCCTTGTACTATATTGCAGAATAGAGCTAATTCGAAAAAAAAAATAAAAAACAATTGATTGCTGGTTTAATTGAGGAAGCCAAGACCTCAACGCAGCATGTTTTGATTATAAAAAAACACTATTTTCTTTATTACTAAATCTCCCATAAATAAGAGATCACAATTAATAAAATATAAAAATAATATGGGGTGCGTTTGGTTTAATATTTCTATCCATATTTCCCAAATATTGTTTGACACATTACTCCAGAAATATTAGTGTATTTTTTAATTACTTTTAGACCCCTTAAGTTTATTAATTTCATTAAATACCCCCAAAAAAAAGTTTAAAAATTAGCAAAAACACCCCCACCCACCCATACTTGCCAGATTTCGGCAGCCACTGTCGGTGGTAGCCGAAATCTGTCACAGCGGTGAATAACCGACCAGAACTGGTCGGTTATTCACCGATTTGGCCTTTTCCGGCCATATCCACTGTGGATCTGGCCAGAAAATGCTAGAGCTGGCCGTTAGTGACAACCAAAAAAATGGTCGTCGTTGATCGAAAAATACGGCCATATCTTTGGCCATCACTGACGGCCATATCTTTGGCCATCGCTGACGGCCAAAGATACACCTTTGCGGCCATCGACGGCCACATTCGGCCATAGATCTGACCTTTTTCAGCCAGATCTGTGGTGGATCTGGTCGGAAAAGGCCATATCGATGCGTTACGATACAGATCCGATCGTTCTGTGTCGTAACTTAATTTTCTGGCCAGATTTCGACGGTGATGGCCTGAATTTGGCATTGCGGGTGGTGGGGGTGTTTTTGTCATTTTATATATTGGGGTGTTTAATTAAATTAGCAAACATATGGGTTTTTTATAAATTTATAAATTTTACCTCGTAATACTCCTCTATTCAACTACCCAATATTATTCCCAAAATCTTATCCAAAATAATGAATCAAACGCACCCATGAGGTAATGTCTGAAAAATAGGAAACAATCACTGTACCACAGTCAAATATTATCCTTATTTGACTTACTCAACACAATCTACTATTTTTGATAATAGTGCCAGCTACTAACAATATAATACACCCTTAACTATCTTTGGGTGGTCGGATGAGGCGATAGAGACTCTTAAGTATATTACTCAAGAGATCTTGAGTTTAATTCTCCTCGATACCTAATAGTGATAGTCATTAGAGGATATATCTGGTCGCTAACAGGAGATTAGTTGAGGTACACACAAACTGGTCTAAACACTCTCGATCACTGAAAAAAAAAATTACACACCCTTAGTCTAGGAATTTGTGTATTTACATGGAAATCCTTCAAGGGAAAAGTTGGAAATTTAAGAAAAGAAATGATATGGTGAACGATAAGAAATTCTTTAAGCAGGAAAGGCTCCGCAAGTTTAAATATGTGGTCCTACCACAAAGCGAAAACGGTAACAATATAATATATTTATGAATAGTAATAACTTAGAAAAATATATAAATTCAAGAAAATCTTTGAATCAACTAGGCGTAATTAGACCTGGTAAAACGGGTCTGGACTTGCGGGTCAACCCTAAACCCAGATAAAAAATATAGGGTATGGGTCTTTAATATTAAACCCGTTTTTCTTCTACCCGTACCCGGCCCAACCCGTTTTGCCAACGGGTCAAGCGGGTACACCCGCGGGCACCCGTTTATTTTTTTTCCTTTTCCTTTTGCAGGGATACCCTAAATTCTAAATTGGGGTTTGGCCATGTTTTTGCCCCAAATCGCAAAATCCCTAACTCTCAAACTCATCGTCGCCGCTTCTCCTATCTTCGTTTCTCAGCAGCACAAAAGGACTCTGCAAATAAACCCAACAACAAAACAAAAACATAAATCACACAAATTCAAAAATCTAAAGAAAAAATTCAATCGAGCAAAAACAAAAATCCAAAAACCCAAAGGAAAAATTCAATCAAACCTGGTGATTAAAGTCAGATGATTAACTCTATCTGGTGATCGATCGAGGATGCATTGCGGCCTACGGGGCAGCAGGTGGCATGTGGGACGTGGGGAGTGGAAGTGCAGGTGATTAAAGTCAGAGTTAGGTTTTGGTTGGGATGAAGACTGAAGAGTGGAGAATCTGCGGCAGAAGTTTCAAAAACTAAAGAGTATAATAGTTTTTATAAAGTAAAGAATGTCACTGATCTGGTAAACTGCAACGTACGTTGATCTGAAGTTCTAATGGCAGAGACCCGCTACACATCTCTCAAAATAGGCCAACCTTTTCTAATTATATCATTGATCTTAACATCAATCAACTTTTGAACGTTTGGAGGGCAAAGCTCCGCTACATAGCTGTTTAGTTTTGCAGCTAGACTTGACTTCTCAAGCCCTATTTCAGGTAAGTTTCCCATCAGAAGAAGGAAAGGATTTCGTTTGAGCTCAAATTTCTGTAGAATCACAACATTCAAAAGTTTGTGATGTTTTCAAGGTCTTTAACCAATAATTTTCTGTTGTAAACCGTGTCAATGGTATGATTATACAAAAATTAAAGAAGCCATACCATACTCAGATCTGTTCAATCTTTGCCTATTTGCAGAGTCAATTCATTCTCAAACTATTGCTTTTCTTCTGTAAATGTTTTCTTTTTTCATATTTTTTTATGCGGGTTTATTTGGTTGATAAGGAATGAAAGGAAAATCAATGAAGTTTTTTAATCTTTTTCTTTGTTAGGTTCTGGACTTCTGTTTGGCTGGTGAGAAAACTTGGGAGAAAACGTCGGTTTATTTTTTCTGTTTGGTTGGTGACAAATTTTACTCAAAAATGAAGATTTTAGGAAGATTTGGGGGTGTAATTGCAAAAATCTAAAACTGGCGTGAACAGTACGGGCACCCGCGGGTCCACCCGTACCCGTATAGGGTAGGGTGGGGGTCCAAAATATTGGGCCCGTTTAAATCGACCCGTTTTTGGGCCCGTGCCCGTGAGACCCGCACCCGTGAGACCCAACCCGCACCCGGCCCACCCACCCGTTTTGCCAGGTCTAGGCACAATTGATCAGGACGGTGTCAATGAAATCACCGACAGAAAAAAACACTTAAACGAACAATTTCCATTAATATTTTGTATACATTTGTATTACGATAGACGATAAAATCTACGGTTACAAAACAAACTAATCTTGTGAGGTTAAGGCCACTAACGATCAAAGAAGGTAAACACGAAGTTCATTGGGAACACTGGTGTGATGTTTGTCATAAGCACTCTGACACTCAAGTCAGTGAGGCTGAAAGAGTCTATTTTAGTGAGGATTAAGGGGAGGAAAGGTCACCGGAGTCCGATTGGCTACTAGAGCTACGACAAAGGTGCTAGTTCTTAGGAGCAAGAACTTTAGGAGCTAGTAGGTGGTATTGAATATCCAATGCTTAATGAGAGATCAGGCCTCTGTTCTTATAGTAATCATAGGATCTTAGAATCCTAGTATAACTCAAAGTTCATAGTAGTAGAGTTTTAATAAATAGAAAAGTCTTGATTTACTTGCCATTATAGGAGTAAGAGTCCTAATTCATATAAGATTCAGAATCTTCAAAGAATTAGAATGTAGATGAAATAGAAAATAGATGAATTATGGTATGAATAGAACTCTGGACCTTTTGAGGTGATCCTAGGCCGATGGGCCTAGGCCCAAGTAGAATAATGGCAAGGCCTAATTTGGGTGATTCAACCCATGAGAAGCTTGGTTAGTGTAATGGGCTAACCCATAGCATGGATCTTAAAGTAGGTCCAATAAGAATCGAGTCATGGCATTGAACCATGTAATAGATGTTTCTGTGTTTAGGCATGATAAGGCCCAAGACCATTTTTAGCCCATACATATATCATCTTAACATAATCAAATAAAACATGTAATTGTGATCATTAAAATCAATTAACTAGAACAAATAAAAATAATAGGTTTTTATTTGGTAGATATATATGTTACAATCAGAGACAAACCCACATACAAATGAGTGGGCCAGTTGACCCACTTACAAATAAAATTTTTAATTTGGTTTGTGTTTCTATTTTGGGGTGAACAACATCTACCCACCCAAAAAATTTGAAAAAAAAAAAAAAAAAACAAACATTTTCCCACCCATTGTTAAATTCAGACGTTATTTTTAACAGCAAAAGGGCATTATTGTCAGTTCAGACAATATACATTATAGGGTTAATGTTTCTTACACCCCTAAATTACAAATACATAACAATTACCTTCACCAACTTAGAAATTAGCCACTTAAACCCCTATCTTCAATTTTTATAATTACAATGGAGGTTTCATGTGTGTTTCTAAAAAAATTTAAAATTGTATATGTTAATTTTAATAATATTTTTCAATTAAATATTTATAAAACTACAAAACAATATTTCATTAATTATTATATATTTTATGAAATTAAATAAAAATATAATTTCCAAAAAAAAGAAAAAAAATGAAAATTTGTAAAAAATAAGAAAAGTTTGAAAGAAAAAATTATGAAAATTTGAAAAAAAAAAATTAAAAAACTGAGAAAAAAAAGTTGGGAGTGATTCCGGCCAACTTTTTTTCAGTTTTATTTTTTATTTTTTATCCATTTTCTATAATTTTTTTATTTTAATAACTGACTTTATTTTTTATTTTTTTAATTCATTAACCCTAAAATTAATATAAATAACTAGGGGTGAAAAATACATTTAATAAAATTTGGGTGGAAAAATGTTATTCAACCTCATTAAAATTATAAGGTCAAATAGTAAAGGGTATTATTTTTTCTCAAAGATTATGGGTGGGATACGGCAAAACTCAGGTGGGACATTGTCATTCACTCTTCTTTTTCATTGGATAGTATTTGTATTAATGCTTTTAAAATTGACCCACTCATTTATTTTCCTTTGTTTTATATTATTTTATTTTTGAACTGATGATGCTTCTGAATTAAATTTTTTGATCCGGCACTCTCTGATTACAATAAATTACAAAGTGTAAATAATGATTATTATTCCAAGGAACCCTTCTGCGAAGTATTCGAAATTGACTTGTCCTCTTGCCCTAGCGCTTAAAATAATATCTTCATCAAACCTTCTAGGCGAAGTATCCAAAGTAAAGCCTTGTGATTGAATCTGAAAACAGTTTGTCTAGTTCCCTGAAAGACTGATAAAACGGAAAGGCCTTTCTGGTGTTTCGTGAGTGGGAAAGTGAAGGAAAATGGATATGAGTGTTGTTTTGCCTGAAGAATGCATATCCAAAACAATCTCCTTTACATGTGCTCGAGATGCGTGCAGATTCTCAGCGGTTTCCCCTGTGTTCAAATCAGCTGCGGATTCAGATGCCGTGTGGGAGAAATTTATGCCGTCTGATCACCGGGAGATCATTTCCTGTTCGGCCTCGCCGTCGTTGCTGACTACTAACTTGTCGAAGAAAGATCTTTATCTTCATCTCTGCCATAACCCCATCATCATCAACGATGGTACTATGGTAAGCTAATTAAACTCACTTATTATTTTATTCAACTTTCAAATTCTTTCATCTATTTCTGTATTACTAATATTAATCAACATTAGAGATAATAATTTAGAAATAATTAATCAACCTTTAAGTGGATTAATTATTTAGAAATAGTGAATGTTGACTTATTGAAATAGTATGGAAATTGAGTATCCCTATTCGATTCAAATGAAAACTGGATTAACTGGTTCATAATTGATTGGAAATTAAGTGCCATTGAACTAATGATACTGCCCTGCTTCAAATAATTCATTAAACAAACAAACAAAATAATTCTAAAATTACTTTTTTGGGAGTGTACAGAAATCATTGAAAATTGGATAGGGGACATTAAAAGTATAAGAAATCTGCAAAACATCCTGATCTTAATGCTATTGAGTCGCTTCAAAAGTCCATATTGTAAAGTTTGTCACATCAAAATGAAAAAATCTATGCATATGCAATATAATGTCCATTTGTCTGTAACGCCTAGCTGATTATCTTTATGAATATTAAAATGGGGAAACTAATCTATCAAATTTGGTTCGACTAAAATAATGTTGTTGTTACTTCTTTCTGAATGCATAGAAAATCTAACATCAATGTGATTCTTTGACACAGAGCTTTTCAATTGAAAAGGAGAGCGGAAAAAAATGTTTCATGGTTGGGGCCAGAGGGCTTTCTATTATATGGGGAGACACATCTTCATATTGGAACTGGCCATCTCTACCGGAATCTAGGTTTGTTCTATTGTCCACTATTCATGTAACTTTATTAGTGTTGTTACTTGTTGGTTGTTGTTAGTTGCAACTATGTAGATATTGTCTATTTTGGGACCAATCCCGCACGAGTTTGCTTTTGAGCTTCATGTAACGTTCTTGTGTGGGATTGGTGAGCTTCACGTAATTGTCCTTCATCCAAAATGCATCTACTTATTTATAGGAACTTGAGCCTTTTAAACGATGCTTAATATATACACATCCCAGAATCATTCGCTAGACGATAGGATGTGAGTTATTCGTTAAGATGCTTAATAAATATGAAAAATGCATTTGCAGGTTTTCTGAAGTGGCTGAACTCAACTATGTGTGGTGGTTTGATGTGAAGGGAAAGATAGACACCAAAATTTTGTCCCCCAAAACCACCTATGCTGCTTACCTTGTGTTTAAGCTTGCTGAATCTACGTACGGTTTTAGAACTAGACCTGTGAAATTGGGTGTGTATTTAGAAGGAATAGATAATGGGGAGAGGTGCAATGTGTATTTAGATCCTCCGAGAAATACGCCAACACTATCTCAAAACAGAGGAGATGGATGGATGGAGATTGAGATGGGTGAGTTCTTCAATGAAAACGGTGATGAGGGAACTTTGATTTGTAGTCTTTTTGATTTTGATGGAATGAGTACTAAGCGTGGCATCATTATTGAAGGAATTGAGCTCAGGCCCAAAAATGGTAAATAATATGATTATGTTTATGCAGACATATCTCGTGTAATAACTTATATGTACTGATGTTAAGATGAATTCAAGCCCTCTTGATGGGCATTAATTGCTTTTTCTACAAACCAAATTTGATGTGGATAATACAATTAGTGTTTGGCAATTTAGCATAAAGTTAACGACATGTTCCCACCCAAAAAATAGCATATTGACAAATTCATACCCACCCACTTTTTAAATATCCTTTCAATACCTAAAACATTATTTTGATAGTAATTTTTGTTGTTAGGAAGGGCAAAATAGTCAAAAGTTCATTATTAATGAGGGTAAAATGATCAACAAACATTGGTTGCTGGAGAAGAAGAGCGGCGCACGTTAGCAGTGTCATAGCCGGTGGTTTTTGTCGTTTTTCGGCCAATCCTAGCGTCCAAAATCACTTACAAGACCACCCATAGAATCCTCATCACCTTATCTATAAAGCCCAAGCCTCCATTTGTTGTCATCATTCACCATTTCCCACCACCACCTCCATTCGCACAGCCAACTCTTTAAGTTGGATTTCCAATCAATTTCTTTGCCATAAATTCCCCCAGACACTACCATCACACTCCCCACAACCCACTCTACAAAACCCTTACCCGTCCCTTGCTCGCCAATTGCAAGTCTTGCACCACGCAACCTTTCAACTTCCAAGCCAATTTCTAGTTGTTTTCAATGCCGAAAGTTGTCCTTGCCACCACCAATCGACTCCTTGAATCTTCCTCTCCTAAAGCCCCAACATTCCAAATCCCGTTTGCTCATCAATCGCCAGCGATTGAAGCTCCCCCACACTAGGGTTTTTCAAGTTTTAATTGGGTTTTATTTGTTTGATTTTTATGTTTGTTGGGTTGAAAAACAATTGAAGAATGTTTGTTTGCAATATTTTCTGGTTGCCAGCACTCCCCAACGCCGATGGCAATTGCCACCAATGGAAGAGGCTAAGAAGAGAAGCAATGGAAGAGGCTAAGAAGAGGGCTTTTTCGTAAATCACTACATTTCCCAGCTAAATCAAAGGGAACCGTATTATTTGAGTAGTAAAAGAGTATTTTAAAAGTTTGAGGGTGGGAAAATGTCAATGGAACTTTTTTGGGGTGGGAACATGTTAACTCTTTAGCGTATAAACAAATTGGTTAGTTGTGTACTGTGTATGAACATGTTAAGTAAAACCAGGTGCTAAAAAAGGAAGGCACTAATTAAGACCCATTTCCATATTTAATATGGGTAGAACTGCAAAAATAAAGAATAAATAAAGTGAAAATGAAAATGAATGATGCATAAACTTAAGTAATTGACAATTCTTCACCTTTATTGTTCATTTTTGGAGAAGATGTTTGGCCAAAATCTTGTCCCCGTCTCAAAGCAACAACTCTTGAACAACTCGATCTCAAACTCTTTTTTTCCTTTATAAACTCAATTGTCAATGGTTGTTTTTGAGTGTGTTTGGGATTGTTGTACTTTTATTTTTTAAATTAAATTGTCAATCGCTTTTTTTTTTTTTTTTAGTGTGTTTGGGATTATTGTCTTGAAAACAATCAAATAGTTATAACACCAAAAGTCTTTGGTAACCATTTTTAAAGTTGATTGATTTTGAAGCAGATTAGAAAATAATCAAATTTTATAAAAGAATTTGAAAAGCTAGCCAAGGTAGCTTTTGAAAATTAGATTATTTTTCATGTTGACTTGTGAATGTATTGCAGTGCCCGAATTTCCCCAATGGCAAAAATATAATTTCTAAGTTGGATATGACTTGCATCCTAAGCAAATTATCCAAGAGATGTTCTATTAAATAGGAAGCACAATCAACAGTGAATGAGGAATCTAAGGGAATAAGGAACTCAACCCGGATTAGGGTGTGAATATCAGAGGTGGGAATTTTGGCCTAGGCCCAAAAAACCTGACCCACGACTGGTCCTATAAGGCATAGGCCAAAACCCAGACCGAGCCCAAAGAGGAGGGATCGGTCCTAGGGTTGGTCCCTCCTCCATGGCCCAAGCCTGGGACCGGCCCAAACCCCTTCCCTAATTACATTTAGACCCTTGGCAAATATTCATAACCCTTTATCTTACAAAAAAAATAATAAGGAAATGGATCGTTGCCTCAACGGTCAGCGCCAACAGTCAAAATAGAGGGGAAAGTTTATTTTCTTTCACTTTCCCCCCAAACCTAAACTATAAATACTCCTTATTTCCACCTATTTTCCTCACAACTCTCAACACTCAATCTCTCATTCTTTCTACTCGAATTCTCAAACTCTCTTCAATTTGTATTTATATTTATTCATCTATTATTCATATTATTATTTATATTATTCAATTTCATCTATTATTCAAATTATTATTTATATGATTCAATTTCTTCCATTTTAGTTATTTATTATTTTATCATAAATTCATAATGGATTCCCCAAATTATGCATTCAAATGATCACCATCCCCAAATGAGTATTATGTTCCAGTTCCTCCATCCACTAAAGAAATGGAAAGGTTCAATCCATTTTCACCCTTTCCAAAGGCAGCAATTCCATAACCAGAAACGGCCGAGACTGCATCCAGCCAAACACAAGCGAGCTGCAACACTATGGAAAGACTATCAAAGAGGGTCGTGTCCGAGGTATGGAAATTCTTCATCAAATCAAAATGGCCAAAGCCAAATGGGCAAGGGGAAGAGATGTGCAGAGTATGTAATTTTTGTCCAACCATTATCGTTGCTGAGCACAAGACTTCGACAATGCGGCGGCACTTGAGAAGAAGCACCCCCAATATATGCAATCTAGTTCAACTTTAACTAGACTCGGTAAACAAATTCAAACTCAACTTAATTTTAATCCAAAATTCTCAAATCTCTCAATCTGATAATACAAGCACTCCATGCACGAGAGGAAATAGCAAAATACACAGTTGTTATGGACTCTCCCCTTTCTTTATCTGAAAATCCTTTTTTTTATTAATATGATTAAAACTGCTTTTTGTCCACAATATAGCCCTGTTAGTAGAGGTACAAGTAGAAGGGACATGCAAAAACTTTATACTAAAATAAGAGATCAACTTAAAAAAGAATTTGAAAATTTTAGGAATATATCTATTGCACTTACTTCAAACATATGTGTTGCTAGATCAAAAACAGATTTTTTGAGTGTCAAAATACAGTACCTAGATCATAGTTGGTGTTACAACAAAAATTGATAGATTTTAAACCATTATATGCTAAACATAGTGTTGAGACTATTTATTTTGCAATTATTGAACTTTTGCAAGATTATTTATTAATTGAGAGAGTTATGGCGCTAGTGTTTGATAATGCAGCTGCTAACACTGCGGCAATTTCTTTATTGGAAAAGAGATTGTATCTGCTTGGTGAAGGCACATTTTTTTACCAAAGATGTGCTTACCATATTATCAATTTGATTATTAAAACAGGTTTAGAATTATACATGCGATGATTGAAAGGGTGTGCATGACTATCGGATTCATCGCTAGTAGCAATACAAAATGGAATTAGTATGTAAACTATTATCGCCAAGAGAAGTTGTCGGTTCGACCAAAGAAGTTATGTTGCGACATGCTTGTCCGTTGGAACTCCACGAACTTGACGTTACAAAGAGTTATGCTAACCTCAACACAAATTACAGAGTTCGTCAACCGGAAGAACTATCCAAACGAAGTCGTCAACGATGATGATTTGACGATTTGCAGTATTTTTCATTCATTTCTTAAAGTTTTTTACGATTCCAATAATACATCAAGTGGTATTTATTATCCTACTACTAATTTAGCGTTAGATATTTACTTCAAATTTCTAAATTTTTTGCTAAACATAGATATAATCCAAACTTAATGGATATTGTTTCAGACATGGAAACAAAATATCAGAAATATTGGTTAGATATTTTATTCTTATATGGATTCAGTCTTATTGTGGATCCTACGTTTAAGTTAAATATATTTAATTGTATAGTTACTGAGATAGGCCAGCATTTAAGACATGACTATAGTTCTTATTTGATAGAATTTAACAGAAAATTGAAAAGCCTTCTTTTCTTTAAATCAGACTAGGTACAGTGGAACGCTCAGCAGAGACGACCAGCAAGAACCTGATGAAGACATTTATCAACAAGGATCGAGCACATGGACGTATATGGAACTTAGTAGCGATGGCGGTGGAAGTAGTAGCTCCAGCTCGTACAGACATGGACCAAATGAGCTGCAACAGTACCTACAAATGGACATGTCCTACATGACCAAGAAAGAGAAATGCAAGATGGATCTGCTTCAATGGTGGAACCAAAAATGCAAGTCGATTCCCCATTGTAGCCCAAATGGCACGTGACATTTTATCTGTGTCAGTTTCAACAATTGCATTTGAGTCAACATTCTCAATTAGTGGCTGCATTGTTGAAGACAAGATGCTCTTTAACCAATGAGATGGTTAAAGTCATAACATGTTTATGGAATTGGACTCATGTAGACAAAAGACTACAATAGCACCCTAAAGATCCCGAACTGCTCAACCTCTTCAAAAAGATAGATTTGGACGATGTAAATTAATAATTTAATAAAAACAAATTTATTTAATTGTTTATTTGTTTAAGTTTAAATTAAATTTGCACATTGTGAAGTGTGAGTATTATATTTATGTTAAAATTAAATTATCTCTTTAAATTAAAACCATATAAATTTATAACCAATTAACCATTCATTTATATTTATTTACTAATAATTAAAAAATTTACAAATCACCCCTTAAAAAAATTGCATAAACCCCTTACATAATTTTCAATTTGGCCCAAAAGATATAAAAAATTAGGGGGGTTAAATAAAATTTTTCGGGCCCATAGGACTGATCCCAAAACCTATCCTATGGACCCATGACCAATCCTAGGGATCGGTCTGGGCCCTAAGAATTTTCATGGGCCTGGGACCGATTCCAATTTGGGACCTATCCCATTGGGCCCAACCCAGGCCCGGGCCTTGCCCACCTCTAGTGGATATGGCTAGGATTCAGTTCCAAAGAGGAAATAGATCTCATATCCTTCTAGAACACCCACATTCTCTCTTCTACTCGGTATCCTACTCCATCAAGGGAAGTAATCTCTTCAAACTCTCTCTA